TGCCCTGCTCCTCCCCAGGGACCAGCCTGGTCTGCACAGCGTTTGCCCCAGCAGCAGCCCTAGCTCAGCCCAGGAAAAGTGGGGAGCAAGACAAGCTGCTCTGTGGGCAGGGAGGTGCTTTCGGCAGAGATGGGAACTAGGGGAGCTGCCTAGGAGAAGGGCTGGGAGCTGCTCACGGGTAGGGCTGGGATGGGGACACACATGCTGGGGGGGTCAGTGCAGGGCCAAGGGCTTGGGAACCCACTTGGAGCAGAAGGGACATGGGGCACAGGCACTTGGGGAGTTGTTGTGGGGTGCAATGGGGTGGGGGCAGGCACGGGGAGGGCTCTCAGGGAAGTGGGCACGGACACGGGGACGGAGTGGGGGGGGGGCGGTATAGGCATGCCGGCCATGGGGAAGTAGGCAGCAGCGAGGCTCAGGGAGCCCCGGGGCGCCTGCAGAGCCCCCGCCCAGCAGAGCTGCTCACGCCACGCTCCGTGAGTCCGTGTGTCCCCAGTCCTTGGGCTGACTCCTTGCTGGAGCATTTCCCCAGCACCTCTTGCCACACTGGCGTCCTGGCCTTGCCTGGCTGAGTCTCATGATGCCCCAGGGAGGGCCTCCATCCACAGCCTCCGCAGCCCTGAGCTGCATGAGGCCAGGGAAATAGCCCCACATGTCCAAGAGGCTCTGTTGGAGCAGGCTAGGGTGCTGGTGTCGCTCGAGGTCACTGGGTTGGGTTATACCCGCACGGCGGGGCCAGAGCCCGTGGTGAGGGGCACGGTGGAGCTGCAGTCATAGTCCAGGTCCACCACGGCGTGGGAGCTGGCGATGAGGCTGCTCAGGGATGGCCCCGTCTGCCGCTCTCGGAAGCTCTGGATGTAGCTCTGATTGAGAGAGGAGAGGGAGGTGAGAGGGGGTGGCTCCCGGTGTCCTCCATCCCATCCTATCCCATCCCACCACACCCCAGCCAGCCCCAAGACCTGCTGCAGCTCCCTCAGGCCCTGCCCGGCATCCTGTGTGGTCCTGTCCAGCCCAGCACTGCCAAGGGGCTCCTGAAAGCAGCCTGGGAAGAGCCTCTCGCACCTGGCAAAGCCCAGGGAGCCGTGTGCAGCATGGCTGTGGCAGGGGGG